TTCTTCTTGGGTAATAGATCGATCTAATTCTTCTTGGTCATCATCATTATCACTATTAGACAAATCAATATGCATTGAATCATCGATTGGATCATCGAATTCTACTGGTATATACTGATTATTTAAATTTATATTATCTTCAATAATTCCTCTCAGTATAATGTCTCTTTTTGTATTATGCTTTTTTTTTATACATGAATCAACCATTTGACCTTTACATTTATTACATTGATACTGAACTTTTTTTGAACTTTGTTTATATCCATCCTTCGATGAATTACTTGATTGCTTTATAAATGACTTTTTGGTTTTTCTATTTTTTGTCATTTTAAATTTGAGAATTAAAAGAGAATAAAAAAAAAAAAAAAGGATTATTTTATTAATATTTGTTATTTATACTTCATCATGGATATAAAACAGGATACGAATATCAATTTCATGATTATCAAACTATTCCTTTTAAGTATAACAATCACTGTAAGATTTTACACTAATCATAAATAGTTTAATTTATGTAAGTATATCAATTGTCATTGTTATAAGTGAAAAAAAAAGTTTATATTAATTATCGTTATATTAACAATAAAAAAGGTGTTTGACGTATATTATATATAAATATACAATTTTATGAAATACAATAATTACAATAATATGTCATTATGAGTTTGTTAAAAAATAAAGGTATAAAAGAACATGATCTTTACTTTCTTTTAGAAACTAATTTTTACATTTTCTTGTTTCTTCTTTGTACTAATGCGTTACCAAAAATAATATTCTAAGCTTAACATAAACTTGAATCACCATCGCACAAACTCACGTTCCTCAAGAAGAAATGATAGTTGTTCTCGTTCCCCAAGAAGAAGTGATAGGTCTTGTTTCTCAAAAAAAAGAGATAGTTATTCTCGTTTTCCAAAAAGAAATGATAGGTTTCTTTTCTCAAAAAAAAGAGATAGTTGGTCTCGTTCTATAAGAGATAGTCATACTCGTTCTATAAGAGATAATCATACTCGTTCCATAAGAGATAATCAATCTTGTTCCGTGAAAGATCGTTCTCATTCTGTAAGAAGGAGAGATTAAGATAATTAAAAAAAGCTTTTAAGTTATACTAATTATTCACCATAATAATATTTAGAGAGGATGTTCTTGTAACTTCAGAAAATCGCAAACTCAAACCCCTATCATTCGAAAATCAAGATCACAAACTCCCATTATTTATAATCTGAGAGAACATTTGCTTAATATTCAGGATGAATATGCTCAAGATAAACATATGCAAGATGAACGTACTCAAAATGAACATTTGCCTACTACATATGATATTACTCAAGACGTTAAACAAAATAATATAATTAAGACTCTATAATTTTATTTTCTTATTTAATAATATTATGTGATCTTAATTTATAGATATCGAAACATTAAGCAAAGCTGTTATGGCACTTACTGAAGAGGTTCATAACCTTAAAAAAAATCAACAAATACAAAATGAATCATCAATACAAAGAGATGTATTCCTCCCTCTTAAATCGACTACTGAATATCATTATCATTCTCGTGTTGTTTTGGAAGATATGTTCGAACAACAATATAAGTTGTTTCATGTAAGTATTAATTAATTATCAGTTTAATAATATATTTTTAAATATTATTTATTTTTGTTAAATTAAGGATGAAGTAGTACAAATCCTCAAAGGACTTGACAATTCATTGCATCTCGATCCAACCAAAAAATGGAGTAAAATCTCTCAACATATTTCAAAAAACATTATGAAGGAAATTGGAAAGGTTTTGTTAGGTAGATTTTGTTATAAAGAGACAGAATTAAAATGGGTCTTACAGCAATTATATCATCATCGTCGAGAACAATGGAAGTTAAGCCTTGATCTGAGTAAAGTCAAATCCAATAAGAAAAGAAAGGGAACTAATTCCCGAAGAGGGGATGTAAGTAACCGATAAGGAAACAGCATATCAAAAAATTCGATTTATACAGTTTTTTTTTTAACAATAGAAAAAAGAACGACGAAAGAAGGGTTTTTACATATATTAGCTATTAACGATGATTCTTTTAAAACTCTTCGACCAACCTTATTTTCATAGGACGATTATAAAGATGATTGCAAATTAATAATAGATGAAGGTAAGTATCATAGTGATGAGGTATCAAAGACCGATGAAGAACTAGCAAATGAAGAAATTGCGGAAAACATCTGACCGAAAAATAAAAACCAATCAGATAAACATGTTATTCATGTTTATGACAAACCATGGAGATCAAGCCGTATAAGTGTTATAATAAATCATTTAGTATATTTATTATTTATTTAACATTTCTTTCTTTTTTTTTTTTGTTTAAATAGGTTCGTAATTTACTTCGCAAGGCTGACCAAGTTGGTGAGAATGTTAGCCACATAAAAATTTCGCATCATCGCTAGTATGATGACAATAAATGGATCGATAAGTCTAAACCACCAGAAGATGCCTCAAAATGGGCGATATCTCAATCTTATCGTACATTTGATGATAGCGAAAATGGTTTAACAACATAAGAATCATAACTATAGTAAATTATTTACATTTTATTTTAATATTAAAAAATTTTTACAGTTTCTAACACAAATATTTCATTTCAAGATGTGTGGTAAAGCGAAAGATGGCGAAAATTACAAAGAAGCTATATACTTGCTATTATTTAATTAGTGTTATATTATTTGTATATTTAAATCATATAACATTACATTATATGTAATATTTTATTGCTATTGCTATTGCTATAATAGATTAATAAATTGATTAACGTTAGTTATGAAATATCAGTATATGTATATTCACGAATAGTATTCTAATTATTAAATGATATCTTCCAGACACTTTATGATAACTCAAAAGAATAAACAATAATCATATAAATATAAGATAATTATCAGGATATTTCATATACCTGATTCTTCAATGATTAAATTTGATGCTTATGAAGTATTCTTCTCAATTCTTCAATGATTAAATTCGATGCTTATGAAGTATTCTTATGCTGATATTTTATCAGCTTTGTCTAGAAAGGTAGCAGGAATCTGTGAATGGTCAGATATGTTCATCTGAATAGTATCATAATATAATGAGTAAAGAATCGGAAAAGAATCAGTATGATGATTTTATCCCGACATATCATATTTTGACCTGTGATAGTTAGTGAAAAACTTATTGAGAAAGTATTAGAATAAAAAATACAAATATATAACTTAAATATCTTATAGCATTTGCTCTACTATTTTTAATAATAATAATTACAAGAAAATTAAATTATATTAAATCAATAGTTTATTTTTTAGTTTTACTTACAAAATATCTAATTTAAAAATATTACATTATGTAGATCATTAATTTAATAAAAATAATATTTATTTTATATTTAATAAAGCACTTAAAACTTTTAGATAAAATTTATCAAAATATTATATAATAAAAAAATCTAAAAAATCAAATTAATAGAATAAGAAAAAATAGAATAGAATTATTTTTAATAAGTTTATTAATAACAATATAATATCATATAATAATATTCAATTAATAATAGATATACAGTTTTTTAAAATTTAATTTAATAATTTACAATATTTATTTTTTAATAAAAATCATTGTGTAAAAAACACATAATCTATAAAATTTTATTATATATTATATAAATTAAATTATACAACTTCTTCATTATGATATTTTGCGATTAATCAAAAAAAGGTTACTGTATAATATTTCTTATTTGCCATTAAAAAAATTCGTATGATTTACCACTAATCATTTTTTGATTATAATATACACTACCTGGAAATAAGTTTGCGTGATTAGTTTTTGAATTTTATTCGAAATTGTATACAATAAAATCAATTGATTTTGGTACCAATTGAAAGCCCTGATTCTTGTTTATATAACTGTTTATTATTGTAAAACATACAAAATAAAAATAATTATAAACATAAATAAATATATCATAATGATAATCAATCTAACAACTTATTTCTAACAAAATGGGTAAAAATCCTGAACTTACCGTTATTGAACAAGCACAAATAATTAGACTATATAAAAGTGGCCACAGAAAGTCCGATATTGTTAGAATTATAAATCGATCAGAGTCCACAGTTAGAACAATAATTCAACGATATGGAGATTTAGATGATATGTTAAGCAAAAAAAAAGTGATCAGCCTCTATTACTTGATGATAAAGATCGCAAAATTTTAAAAAAAATTGTTAAAAAAAATAATAAAGCTTCAGCTGATATAATACAAAAGAAATTTTCAACAACAACTAGTCAAGATATTTGTATCAAAACAATTCAAAAGAATTTGCATTAAATTGGATACAATTCTTATCGAGCTGCAAAAAAACTATTTTTAAATGAAAATTAACGTCAAAAATAGCTAGAATGGTCTTTAGAAAGATAAAATTAGACAGTACAACAATGGAGAAATGTCATATGAAGCGACAAATCAAAGTTTACTCTTTTTCGTAATAATAGTCCTTCTCAAGTTTGGTGTGAACTAGGCACTCGTTTTAATATTGAAAACCTGAATCCATTCATTAAATATGGTGGTGGCGAAGTCATGGTTTGGGAATGTTTTTCAGGCAAAGGATTGAGTCCTTTAGTGAAAATAGAAGGAATAATCAATCGGCATGATTATATAAAAATCTTAGATAATAACCTGTTGTCATTTATTGATTCAAAGTTTTGTAACTGATCTTACAAATTTCAGCACAATAATGCATCTATTCACACAACTAATGATGTTAAAGCATGGGTTGCTAAAGAAAAATTAAAATGTTAATTAACTGGCCTACTCAATCTCTAGATTTGAATCCCATTGAGCATCTTTGGGATCATCTTAAATGTTTATTGCGTAACTGTTCAGATCTGTCTAAAAAACTTGCAGATTTAGAAGTGCAACTAAAAGAAGAATGAAAAAAAATTTTGCAAGAAACTTACCTAAAATTAATTGATAATATGTCTCAAAGAATAGAAGCATGTATTGCCAATAATGGTTGGCCAACTAGATATTAATATTTTATTAAAAAAAAAATGATAATAAACTATTTTTTCAAAACTGCGTAACTTATTTCCAGATAGTGTATATGCCTAAAATTTGTAAAAATTCTTCAGATTAAGTTTAGTTTCATTTTCAAATAGCAGCAAAAGTTTTTATTTTTTAATATATTTTATTTATTGATTATTTATTTTAGACAAATTCTTTTAAGCTGAATCTATAAGTATTTTCTAATTGATTATCTTTTTTAGACGATTTGATAGCAATTATAGCATTTAATTTATCATTAATTCTATTAGTTATTTTTTTTTAATAATTTTATTATCCTCTTCACTTTAAAAAGGAAGAAATAATTTAATATACTCTTTTATAAAGCAATTATTTACTATTTATTTTATTAACTTCTTCTTTTTTATTTATAATAAAAGATTTACTGTTTGTCCTTCTCATTCAAATTATTGATAAATACTTAACTTTTCATTAAATTTTTTTTAAATACTTTTTTAGGTTATATCATTTTACATTAATCATTATTTTTTAAATAATTTCTTTTGAATTATATCATTTATTTGATTTTTATATTTTTATTTTTAATTATTTTATATTATAATTGTTAAATGATTTATTAAATTTTTTAAAATAAAAATTAATAAATTAATTATTTAATTATAATAAAAAAAATATAATTAATAATAAAAATAATAAAATAACAATATTTTAAAAAATTTTACATATCATATTATAATAAAAAAAATTTATATTGATTTATTTAAATTGAAGAAAAAATAAAAGATTAAAAAAAATACAAATAAAATTTAAATTCTATTTAATTATTTTTATGTACTTTTTTTATTACCTAATAATTATATACCTTATCCTAATCATATCTTCGAAATTATCTGACTTAATAAGCAATATTATTAAATGTTGATTTAATGATTTAATATCTATCCTATTTTTTTTATATAAGTTTTAATAAATTTATAAAAAATATTTTCTCAACTTATGCATTAGATAAAGAAATAATTAAAGATATTCTAATTAATTTAATAATATTTGAAAATTGATTTAAAAAATCAGGATACATATATTCTTAATACTTACTATATCTCGATCTTTAATTTGTTTTATATAATATTTTGCTATTTTCCATTATTATTTTGCTTCATCTCTATTAATTATTTTTTTGAAATTACTTTCTATACTATTCATTTTATCTACTCTATAAAAAACAATAAGTTTTTTAATATCTTTATTACCATCATTTTACAATTTACTTTCTTTGTTAATAATAACTTCAAATTAAATATATGAAAGAAATAATATAAATTAGATTGTAAAAATCTAAATTTAAGACTTTCAATAATTGTTTCAGAAAATTTTTTTGATAAATGATGATAAATTATTTGGTAAAATATTATAATTTTGTAAGTACTATATGAAGAAATAGATCTATCAATCTCAATATTATACTATTATTATATCATATATTACATCTAATTGAATTTTAATATCTGAAAAACTAACATGTTCTTTTAATTAATTTTGTTTTAAATCTGCAAAAAATTAGCAAATTCATAATCTAAATCTTTAAGTAAACTTTTAGCTAAATTCTGATAAGATAATTTTCACTAAATTGAGCATCATAGTGCAGCGCATTGATTACTGAATTCAGAATTTAATGTAAATTTTTTACACAATTAGACATTGATAACCATCTTGTATTAACTATATTAAGATGTTTAATTAAGAATCTTCTAATGCGTCTTTTAATATTTTTAAATTTTGCATTTGTCAATAAGAACCTGTAAAATAATGATATAATTTTTAATATTATTTTCATAATGATTAAAATGTGGAACATATTTTGCTGTATCTTTTCCAGCTAAATGCAATACAATGCACAGATATAATAAAAGAATTAAATTTTTACAATTGTTTAGCAACACCTGTTTTTGTACCAACTAATGTTGCGGCTTCATCACTACCAAAATGTAATAAATCTTTGATTTCCAATCCTTTAGTAAGAATAAAATTTTTTAAATTTAAAGTAATAGCATTAGCATTAAGTTTTTCTAAATTCATTATTCCTATATAGTCCCGTGATCAAGAAGGCGCAGTAACCGTCAGATGTCACACAGATATTTTTGACGAACTTCGCATTTTACTCCAAAACGTTAATCATGTTTATTTTTAGTATGCTTATTATTTCAATACAATTATACTAACGCTAATCAGTTCCGATCATCACCATAGATCTTGTTGAAATACCAAGGGAAATTTGTCGATTTAGTGAATTTTTTTTGACAAGGGACACTTTATTGTATAACCATTTCTTTAATTAGAAATTCTATAAATTAATTATGATTTCACATTTTTAAAATATTTAAGAGAATAAACAAATGATAGTCAAAATTCGAGTCTGTATATTTCAAAGTGTTTACCTCGTTTCCTGTTTTTATGATAATAAATAAATAAAGTAAGGGGAATTAAGGAATAAAAATTTGTTCA